TTGACTTTCATGAGGGCAGGTCTGTGAAGATGAATAGTAAAAATAACGGCACCATAAAGTCGAGACGCTTGCCTAGGGCCTTACTGCTGGCTTGCAATAGAAGAAAGTGGCTAACTTGATTTCCATTTACCTTTTGTTTGCATGCGCTATATATTTTAGTACATTATTAAGCAGGCTTTTTAATTAGTGATGCTCCACCAGGAAAACTCGAAGAAATTGTGCAGCTCCCAGCACCCCAAGCAGGGGCATGCTGGAAGGGGAGAGGGTCAGCATGTGACACCCATCCCTGGGCCCCCGGCTCCCACCAGCAAGGAGCCCAGATGGGCACCAGGGAAGCTGCAGGAAACGCGTGGGCTCCGGGCTCGCATCAGGGTTGCGCTGTTGGCTTTCCTGATGTTGTCAAGTGATGTTAGCAAAGGTTTCTGAGTCCGAGGGACTCCTGCTTGCCTAAAGTGCCTCTGAAAGCCAAGCTAGAGTGACAGCGGCACCAAGAGGAGAGCAGCCGGGTGCTCTCGGCAGCCTGTGTTTTAGCACAAACCAGGCCAGATTGATGGTACTTAGAGGAATCAATTATTGTCATGCACCATCTTCATGCTGTGGCAGATTATTTAAAGATGAGCAAATGATGTTAGCGTGCACTTCCTCGGCAGGAGCGTGCATGCCTCTGCTTTCAGGCCACCTGCCATGAGCAGAGGACATTGCGTATTGATCAGTTAGTGCGTGTACGCGGGGAAGCCGGAGGGGCTTTCCATCAGGTTTTGGTTGGCGTCCACCAGCCGTTGAGCAGGAGGTGACTCATAACATTCAGTGCCTTTTCCAGGCTGGAGGGTAAAAACAGAACAAAGAAGTATGAAATGTCTTAATTTGCAGGTTGGGGTGTCAATCTCCATTTTACCAGCCTAGAGAGACTGCTTTGCACTCAAATTGGGAACGTTTGTCCGGGAAGGAAAAGAGGGATCCTCCTAGTGATTCCCAGTGAGGTTTCTCTATGGTTTAACCAGCCCTAACAGTACGAGGTGTTTGGTAGGGCTGGCAGAGGAAGATGTTTTGGTTTTGCTGTCGTTTTTATTTTCCTATTTAAAATTTTTGTGCTCAGGACTTTTTCAGTTCTTCGTGGCTTTATTTTCTAGATAGCAAAGGAGGGTGGACATCTGCCTAAGGAGAACAAGATATCTTCAGCCCAGCAGCGGACACGGTTTCCAGTGCCTTCACCCCATACAGACCACGGGGTAGCTCTGATGAAACCCTCAAAGACTCATTCCTTGTAGAAGAGGGTTTCTTTGCGTGTGACTTGCGTGTCTAGATTTAAGGAGGAAGGCCACTGAGCTCCTGATAACAGCATAAGGGCAAAGATCAAAGAAGCCCTTGGTCCTCCTAAAATGAAGGACTTTACTTTTTGGCTTTTCTAAGGCATGTTGACTGAGCTATCAAGGCTTTGGTAGCAGTGGCCAAGGAAAATACTCACGTTTCTGCAGAGAGGTCCCTGTGAGGGCAGGGGGACCTCCTGGTCATGCTCTTAGAGAGAGCCAACAAGCTCTTGAGACAACAAAAGCTTCCAAGCCAACAAGCATGTCCACCTGCGGCCTTCCCAGAGAAAGCATCTCCACAAGATCCTGTCATCCATCTCTAAAAAATCCTGGCTAATCCAGAAAACTGGATTTTTCACCTTCTAAAGTGCATACTGGGAGGTTAGCCATAGATACCCTGTTTCAAAATACCACTTGTAGTTTTTCTTCCCTGTGTTTGGTGTATCTCTGTGGTCTGCCTGCAGGAAGGGAGGACTGTGGATATAAGAAATTTGAATAATTCCTTGGAGAAATAATTGAGCCCAGCTTTTTCCATGAGCAAAAAATTAATGCTTATCCTTTCTGCCAGGAGATTAAGTTGAACACTTGGCGCCTGCCAAGCAGAGCAACAGTTGGTGCGCGAACGTGTCACCTGCTGCTCTCGAGAGGAGAGGCCCTGGGGAAGGGGAGAGCAGAGGGTGGGAATTGCAGCCAGGACCTTCATCCCCACGCCGCCTGTTTTGCCATACGCAAACAACCGCTTTCCTAAAGTTGTCTTTACACAGTGGCGAAGGAAGCGCTTTGGCCACCTGAGCGGCGCGGGGCCCAGCCCGCACTCGCCTCACGCACTGCCTGAGGCGGCCGCCCCAGGGCGGGGGGCAGGCCGCCCCCCAGCGGGGGGTGTT